CTAACCCCAACTGCTCCATTTGTGGGGTAATGGATGGCAGTCAACATTACATCTATGACTGCCCCATGTTGGAGTTGGAAAGATTTCAACTGAAGACAACCATCGAGGCACACGGTGGCGCATGACCGATGACTGCAATAAAATCTTTGACAACAAAGACACATATGAAGCCTTAATGACATTTATTAATAATTATTTTGTAAGGACTACTGTGTCTACAACTAGTTCCTATTCTGTCCACATTCTTTGACTCTGTAATTGGTGTCCCAGCTTGATTTTGGTGTCTGCATTTGTCTATACGCATACATTTAGTGCCTGTATTTAGTCCTACATCTGCATACATATCTATTCTACTGTAAATGTTATTTTTATTTTACCTGAGATTCACTCTGTGACTGTGTTTAAATTTCTGCATGTGTATTTATGTATTATATCATTTGTGTATAATTTCCCTCGATACTTTTTTTTTTATATTATTGTAACAATTTCTATGTAACTATTTCTATATAACTAATCTTTTGCATTTTGTATATTTTGTTACTAACTAATTTTATTCTAGTATCTAACCTCCTTTACTCCATTTGTCACGTGTTAATTAAACAACTGTATCTGTAATTTGTATCATTGATTTGAGATAGTACTGGGTTATACCTGTTGTGGCACCCAGATACAATGTACACAATGTGTTCAAATAAAATATATATATCTATATATATATGTATAGTGACACTTTTCAAACACTAGGCAGATTATTCATCTTTTATTTGGTTGGATTACAGTAAACTAGAGACAAATTTAATTCTATTGAGTAATTTTACAAAATGTATATTTTTAATTTTCTATTTATAAAACTTTTTGAAGCTATTGTTTTCATTTGTAACTGCAAATTTAGAACATTATGATGATTTCTGAAAATATCATGAAACATGGTAATTCTTATTACAGTTTATATACAGGATCTTCATAAAATAACTCTGGGATCTCTAAAATTGTATTAATATTCTTATATACGATATTAGAAATATGGTTTCAGTGTCTTCAGAAACTCAAAAAGTTTTTTGGCATATTAAGTAAAAATAAAACTATGGAGGCACTACAGTGTTAGTAACATGACTTTCCAGCAGAAAGAGCAGTGTATGATTTAGTTCTTCAAAACTAAACTTCTTGTTACTGTTCAATAAAATCTTTACTGTGAGTATGGCAGTAAAGTATCCTCAGATAAAGATATTTGCCAGTGATTGCAACGTTTTAAAGAGACAGGAAATATTTTAAAAGGTAAACCACCTGGGAGACCATGCTTATCAGAAGATAATGTGGAATGATCAGAGTTTTCTGCACTCAAAGTCCATGAAAGTGATTAGGATGATGCTGTTTGAAATTACTATTTGTTATGACCAATGAACACAAAATGGTACACAAAAGTCCCATCCCATTTCAGTAATTATGTTTGTATGGCTTTAATCAACAGATTTTCTAACAGGTCAAGTGAAAAGGGGTAGTTCATTTCTATGGTCATCTCAGAGTCCAACATATCACTTCTTAACTTTTTTTACATGGAGACAAAGAACAAACATGGTGTATGCAAGTGTTGACCATCTTCAAGAGAGAGTAAATAATGCCACTGCAACTATCAGACCCAACATACTGGTACAGACACTGGGAAGTGACAGAATATTGCTTGGATGTTTGTAATACCATGAAGGGAGCACATATTGAAATGTATTACATGCTGAAAACTTGAAAGTATGCTCTTTCATTTCATCTTGTAAACCTGGGCTGTTTAAAAAATTCAATTTAAGTTTTGTATTCAATTTGGTGTTCTGTTCTTTAATAGGCTTATGTAACCTGAGGATGTCCAATTGATATGAATGAAAATGTTCATTATATTATATTTGTGTTTAGTATATTAGTGTGTTTCAGATAATATATCCCAGTTCTTGAGATGTTTAATATAGTCAAGTGCGCATAAGTCGACATCTGCCCTAAGGGGAAGTGAAAATATATCAAGTTATCTGATATGATGACTAAAACAAAGTTGAAAAAAAAAAAAAAACCATAATTAGGAAAATACAGCAGTGCTTTATACAGATGTGAGAATCAGAATTTTATAGTTAATTTAGCATGAGAAATGCATTATTTCTTACATATTGTTTACAAAAAGGGAAGTTACATTCATCATGTTTTTTGAGAAAGGGAAAATCAACTTCTTTTCTCACAAGACTTTATTGGTAATTCTGACCACCATCTGTATTTTTACCCCCTCTACACATCATCGCGAATCCTGTTGTAACTGAAAATCATTTTATGCCATTGGTCAGAGAGCCTGATAAAAAGGTAGTATCCCTCTTTCCGGGCAGTTCATGAGAAATTAAACATGCCATAGAAGACAATAGTCGACCTAAGAATCCCTGGTCCGTATAGTTAACTACTGCGCATGTTTCCACCAAGATTCTCATTCTTCTCCTGAACTTTCACCGCTGTCGTTCCACATATCAACACCTAGAAGCCAACCAGAAGAAGACTACTGATTGACTGATATCGTAAGGTAGTACAATTTATATCATACTTGTAAACTCTCTCTCTCTTGCAAGGATAGGATATAAATTGTTACTTTCTCATTTAAGATTAGCAGTATACGCTTGGCATAATAATATATCTAAGAATAGAGACATATTTAGAGTTAAGTTTGATTATGCTAACTTGTATTCAATTTGAAGCAATGTATATAGTATATTTCTTTTATCTATTATAAGTTAATTGTTATGTTTATTTATTGATTCCATTTATTTGCTAAGTTTGGACCATTCATCCGCTACAAGTCGGACTTACCCATGACACCTCCCACTCAACAGAAATAGCCCTCCAATATTTAGATTGTAACATTTCATGTGTTACGGCAGAATATCCTTCCCTAACTGGTGTCAGTCCTGACAGTCGAAATATCGAAAAATTCAAGTGACATTCTTATTTTAAGCCATCCTTAGACGAGAGTGAGCGGGCCTTAATGTCCCGACGACTAGAAGGTACAATATCTTCGACCATGATCTCACAGTACATGCAATGTATCTCTCTGGCACTAAAGTTGGTTTCTACTCCAAGTACCTCAGCAATTTCCATTAGTTTTTGTTTCAGTATTGGCCCTGAAACAAAAAGATTCAATGAACAAATTTGCTTTAGCCAACGTACCAGAATATCTTCTATTTCTTTGTACGGCAACTTTCTCTGGCATTTTCAAGACAACCACAACGAAGACCCAAGAAAAAGTTTCTTAATTTCCTCTTTTTTCTTCAGAATTCCCACTAATGTTGTTCTTGAAAGGTTTTCTTGTTTTGCAAATTCAGCTTGCAAAGTTTTATTACATTCAAATTCAGTTTGTATTTTTCCTTCAGTGTAAGCTTTGTTACGTTTGGGATACTCATTTCTAACAGAAATGTGGAAAATTTGCTGCAAATAAAACAAGAATGAAAGGTGAGAAAATGCAAAATCAGATTCTGCTGTGACGTTAAGCTGTGTGATGAGAACTCATCTTTTTCAGGAGGGGAGTCGACTTATCAGACATCTAAACAAGTGCTGGACAGAAAAAGCATGTTGATTTATCTAGTGGTGACAAGTTAAACAGTGTCGAGAAAACCAGAGTTTTTTTAACATTAATGCCTATGTAAGTCAACCAGAATCAAAGAAAACTGACTACTTAACCGACAGTGTCTAGTTATACCTATGATGAGTTATGCGGACTTGACTGTATTTCATCTTGTAATTCAAGTTAAATTTCTAATCTATCATTTATCAAACTGTGTATTAAATAACTGAATTATTTCCTGAAAAACTAATATACAACATTTACTTGGTTTAACTGCATTAATTGATTATTAATGAATAATGTTAACTGAATTTATTGATTGCAAACTGTTTTTTATGATCTATTGAAAATATTAAATTTTTTTTTCAATAAACAAAAATAAGAAATCAGCTGTGATGTTTTTAATTATAATTTTCTACATTTAAATTACATTTTAAAATTAACACCAAATAATTGCTGGATTACATTGGGTTATATTACTGATACTATTGTATTAATAATTAAATGTGAAGTAATTTGGCCTAGAAGTACGCATTAAATTCCATTAATATAGCCTGATATAATCTTAGCAGTAAGCTTAAAATTAATTAATCAATGTTTATATTTGTATATACACTATACTGAGAAAAGTGATAGCAGGCTGAGTGCCATGGAAAATGTTACAGGCCTGAAGACATACCCAGTCAGTTCCTTGAGTAACCAGAATAGTTACATCTAAATTAATAGTTCTGGAAGCAAAGATCGATGGAGGTCCAGGTACAGTACATAACTGACAATGGGAAGTGGGAGTTGTGATTTTGAATCCTGATTTGGGCCAATTTTCAGAACCTTCTAAATTAATTATTAAATTTATGAAATCTAAAACTAGATCAAATTATATAACATTTAATTAACAGTAGCATTAATAAAGCCTAATATAATCCGACAATCATTTAGTGTTAATCTTAGAATTGAGTTAATCAATGTTTATATTTTTACATTTAAAATTATCACTAAGTAAAAAAAAATTAAGAATGAAAATATTCAATTAAGAATTATTAAAAGAATAAGTATATTAAAAGAGAGTGGCATCATTCTTTCCTTACTTCTCATCCATTTTTAAAATATTCTAATGATTTCAAAGTTGTATATACAAGAAAAATAATGTTCTGATTTAACTATCATATATACAGAATGTACTGTACAGTACATCAAACTGTTTTTTTTTTTTTTTGAATTTGAACAAAGTACAATAATTTTTAATAATTCATTTTCATTCTTAATTTTTAAAAAATTTTTACATCTATTGGAATTTTTCAAGATTATTCAAATACTGAATCTAGTTTGTACTTAATCTGAATATTTTCATCATGTGAGTTTTAATTAATTTTAAATTTGTATTTCACATCATCATGAAAACTACTTTTAAGAAAAAAATTACCCTTCAGGTGAAAATTCTAAATTAAAAACACCACCATGATGTGCACATTTTGTTGAATCAATTGGGTCCCATAAACCAACATTTGCAATAGAAAAATAAAGTTTCTTGTTCAAATGATTAATATAACCAACAGTTTTTTTTCCTCCTTCTTCTCTATGTTGCAAAAATTTGCTCCACAATTTAAATCCAGTTTTATTCATGGCATAGGTTGATTAACTATAAAAGAAAATATATTCCTATAATTAAAATTTGGAAATATTTAAGTATACTCACATTTAAATCCTTATATCAAATGAAAATTTTTACTTTTATTTAACTATTCAAATGATCAGGATAAAATTATCTTCATATTAAAAGAAAAAACAATTTATAATATTAATTAATATCATAATTTTAATGCCATAACAGTTAATAACATTAAGCTTTTTATATTCACTTGTTTTTATCATCATAGATTTCATTTAGAAATTTGATTTTACATATCATTGTGTTTTATGTGTTTAATGTGATTTTCTAATATTTTAATTTCTAGGAGAAATAGTATATAGCAAAAGAAATCTGAGTACAAATGAAATTATGCATTCCTTTTTAAAACACTATAATACAGTGGTTTCCAACTCTCTGTACCTCCGCTCCGATAATGTTAATTTATATGTAGCTGATGTTACATTAAAATTTATGCTAGATGAATAAAGTAGCCAAAACACATTTTTAAGCATTGAACTGAAAAAAGCTTCAATATGTAGCATAAAAAAAAAAGGAAAGACAAACTTACTATTCAGATGTGCTACACTGCTTATCAGACCTAATTTGAATATTTCAGAGGAGGAATATCATGGAATTTTTAGTCTACGGAATAAAGCAACAATTATAAAAATGATTGCTGAAATTTTCAAAAGCATCTCGTACAATAAAACAGACTCTGGCGATAGTACTGACTTAAGCACTAATGAAATTAAAACTCCAACGTCAACTGCTGGATTATGGAGGAAAAGCTTAATTAATATGTTGATAAAACTAAAAACAGAAGTACTTCAGGAAAAGTCAGTTATAAAAGAAAAGAAAACCAAGGAGCTGAAAGAGGTAATAAAAAAATGAATTGGATTATTTTCAACATGAAAAAGTAAAGGAAAAGTACATTAAAATAGTTTTTGATTATTTGATGACCATCTAACCAACGTGTGTGGAAGCCAAGAGAGTATTTTCAGCAGCTGGATTGTTTTGCACCAAAATTAGATCCCTATTAGGGGAGAAAACTTTTAAATAAGTTAAGCATTTTGAAAGCATATTTTTAAAAACTGTTAATTTATTTTTAAAAAATGTTTATTATATCTGTACTAATCTTTGTATGCTTACATTTTAATATCAGCATTTATTTTATATTTTTCATTAATATTTTTATAAATTGGTTATTAAAAAATTTAATTATTATTTTGCAATTATAAACCTAAATGGAATATTTTGTTAGTGTTTAAATGTTTGCATTTATTACTATCCAATATTTTGTTTTTGAAATAAATGTGAAACAAGAATCAGAAACCAAAGACTCTTGTATTTATTACCTTAATGTGTTATTTTTCAGAACACTTACTGTAAATTACCAGTAAACTGGTATTCAAGTTTTCATTTACTAAATTACTGGTAAATGAAAAAGTCAATAAATTTATAAATCCTAATTACTATTTATTAAATCAATTGCTGGAGTACAAGGTAATCTTCTCACTGTTTTAAAACAAAAGATGATTTAGGCCAAGAATACAAATGCATAAAATACAACATATATGTGAAGAGAAACATAAAGTTAATTAATGAAGAATAACTCCAAATTCTTTAAAAATATTAAAAAAAAATCTGCTTTGTTGAAGAAATAATGTCTGAAGTTTCTGCCAAAACTGAACAAAAAATTCAGTACAGCAAGTTCCTTCTTTTTTACACACTGAAAAATTTTCTAATGCTGTATAGCCAATAGTAAGAAGTCTTTCATAGTAATGTTCATTCTTGTTACAAGGTCTATCTTTATTTGAAAAATGGCATGTACTTTTCATTGTTATGCTTCAAAACCAAAAGATGTTTAAATCTAGATTTGTTTTAAGATTTAATACACATATTCAAGATTACTAGTTTTTAACATTTCACTTTGCTGTTTGATATTAAGGGTACATTTATAAAGTCGAACAAGTTAAACGAGAATGACATCATTGTTATTCTCACTTTTGTTGGACATTTTGACCAATTCTTTTACAACAAAATGGCTGTTTCTGAAATCAAAGTTATGAATGTTGCTAGTGTAGTCTTATCCAAAAATTATTTTAGATTGCTTGAAATGAACAGTTATTTCTATCATTTCATCTTTTAATCTACAATTTAAACACTAGAGCAGATTTAGAAACATCAATATCACTGGGTGCCATTTTCTTCATGATTTCATTTCTAATAATTTTGACAGATTTTTTAATTCAATATTTGTTATAGTTACCATCGCTAATAGGTTTATAAGTAATGAAAATTACTTTAAAATGGCTAATGTTAATTTGTATAATAAAAATATAATAAAAAATACCAAAAAAAAAATTGTCTTGAAAATCTGCCATTGTCCAGTCACCATTGATAACCAAAACAAAACAAAACAAATAAAAAACACTTAATTGAAGACAAAAAATTTTTTTGTATTCATTATATTTTTATTATATGAATTATTAACATCAGACATTTGAAATAAACTGAGTTTTAATTTATGATATTGTCACCAAATGTCTTTATACCAATTTACATTTTTTTTTTTTTACAAAGGTTTTTTTTGATTGTCAATGATGACTGGAAAACGATGGATTTTGAAGACAAAAATTATTTTGTATTCTTCATTATACACTGGTGGACAAAACCTAAGGACAAATGCTATTTTCAACAATTACAGTTAGAAATTGAACCACAGCAGTCTGTTGAAATATGCTTGAAATCATGATGTACTCTGTTATGTAAGAGAGTACATTTTTATGTACTCATAAAAATGTTTGAGTTCCACACGTATCAGTCACATGACAGCACAGATAAGAGATTTCAGGCAATCTGTGCGTGCAGTAAGCTTTTGTTGATGTAAAATTTGAACGGGAAGGAGTGAAGTTATAATAATAAAATTTTGGACATGTCTTCCAGGCACCATTTAGATGATTTTACTCATGGAAGAATAATCTGAAACCTGGAAGAAAGACAGAATGTAACAGATGTTGCACGTGAATTTAACATTGCCCACCATATCATTTCTAGACTATGGGCAGCATTTCAAACTAGCGGAATGTGCAGCAGACACAATGGGGGAGGTTGTCCTAGCAGTATAACAACCCAAGAAGATCAGTATATTGTTCTTTCAGTGAAAAGGAATCTATGTAGTACAGCTGGTGACAAGTCATTTACAGGCATCCACAGGAACTAAGATATACCATAAAACTGTTGCAAGATGTTTGCGAAAGAAAGGACTATACGTCCGAAGACGTGTTGCATGTGTCCCACTCTCAAGAGTTCATCGAAGCACCCATTTGCAATGTTGCCATCTGCATCAAAATTGGACTAATGACGACTGGGCTACCATACTCTTCTCAGATGAGAGTAGATTCAGTCTATCATCTAATTCTAGACGGCAACTGATACGGCGGAAGGTTAGCAGTGCTTATCATCCCGAAAATATTCAGGAAAGGGATCAATATCCAACTTGCAGTATCATGGTGTGGGCAGTCATCATGGTCAATGGCCGTAAGACCTTGACCGAGGGACCATGACTGGCCAATGGTACATTGATGAAGTTCTTCTCCCTTATGTTTGATTTTTTCAAGGTGAAAAGTGAAAAGTTTTATTTTATAAATGATAACGCATCTTGTCATCGCACACAAGCTGTAGAGGAGTGTCTTGGCAGCGAGGATACTCATCGCATAGTCTGGCCAGCCTGTTTTCCTGACCTGAATCCAATTGAAAATATATGGGATGCCTTGGAAAGACATATTGCTGGTTGACAATATCCACGGACAAACAAGGAGACCCTCATCCATGCAGTGAAACAGGAATGGGACAACTTGCCTCAATAGCTCCTGGATCAGGTTGTTCTGAGTATGCCATGTTGTGTATGAAGTTGCATAACACTTCACAGTGGCCATATTCCTTACTGACATGACATTCAGGATTGTTTGTGGTAAGTATTGTGCATTTTTAGTACAACCACAACCATGACTTCAGACAATATGCACCTTTTACAAAAACACCCTCTTTTGACATTCTGCATATTTCCTTTGAACATAATTATTATATTAAATCATGTTGAATGTGCTGTCAATACTATTGTTTTCTTCTTGGTCTACAACCACATGTAATTTTTCATATACATGCCCATTTCTTCTTTGTCCTTAAGTTTTGTCTACCAGTGTATTTTTATTATGTAATGAAATTTAAAAAAGAGGACAATGACACAGTAGAGCAGCTCTGATAGGTATGTGACCTTTGTATTCGCACGGAACCTAGCATTTAGAGGTTCTTAAGCCCGGTTCCCACTAGAGCTTACGGATTCGTTGAGGGAACCGACATCACTATCCATCAGCCAATCGGATTATCTTGTCGTACAGTTTCCGAGAGAAAGCATTTCGAAGATGGCTAATGTCGAACAATTTATCGAAATCGTGTGACCGAAGGCTTGTTTACAGGACATATCTATACACAAATACAAGATAAACAGAAAAAAGAGAAAATACGTGGATGGCCATTGGAAGGCATTCCTAGTAAAGCTGCTTTATTTATCGCTTTTATAGGAAACACTTATACACATCAGCTACTCAGCATTGTTGTTTGGCTCTTTGTGTACGTTATTTTGTACGAAATGTTTAGTCAGAGTCGTAACTAGGGTATGCCAATGTGGCCCCGCCATAGGGGCCAATGTAATAAAGGCGCCAACCAGAAGGTTTCGGAATAATATGTATTCGAAATTAATAACAAAAAAATTTTTATTATGTAATGAAATTTAAAAATTTAAATTTTTTAAATTTAAATTTTTAATTTTTAAAATGAAATTTAAAAATTTAAAATTTTGTAATGAATACATAGATTTCCATTTAGTTCTCATAGATCCCATCTTAAATGGGGGTTATTTTCTGAAAAAATTTTGATGGTAACGCAGAAAATGCCCTTTTCTAGCTTTTGCAAGTTTGTCTTAGGGAAGTTCTGCCTGTCACAGGTTTATTGATTTAGACAAATTTGAAAACTAGTGTATACTTTTTGAGGTAGTATAGAACCAATAAATCATAGTAGTATGGCATAATTATACATGATTTATGTTTTTAGAAAACATAATATTACTTAATATTATGCTTTCTTTCCTGGAAACTTTCTGTGGACCAGTAATCAATAGCTTGTGGATTAGTATCATTCTATAGCCCAATATTTTGAGTAGCATTGATTTAAGCTACTAACCAACAAATAGATCAATAAATCACATTCTTTAAAAAAGTTTCTTTCTACTTACTTACCTTCGTCAATCTTCATAAAGTGAATAATAAGCATATTGAAAACAAGCAAAATCTCCAATTAAAAAATATGAGAGCTTCCAAAGACTGCACCTGTATACACTTAACAGAGAACTAAAGAAGTCATCTTGTTGCATTTAAACAGTACAGTAAAACCTGTCAAAAGTAGAAACTGAATAAAAAGGAAAACTGCCTAAACAGAAAAAATTCTTCAGAAAAGCAATTTTCTATGTTAAAAAAAAAAGAACCTGTTCAAGACAGAAAGAAACCAGCCAAATCTGAAAAATATTCAGTAGTGTGCAATTCCATTTTACACGGGTTTTACCATATTTACTTGTGTATTGACTATTAAAATAAAATTGTGTTTTATAAAATACCAATGCTTTAAAAAAATGTTATTAAAAAAAAGCAAATAAGTTAAGGAAAAAGTATAGACTATCTCAGGAAAGGTAATTGCTCCATTTGGTTCCACTCCACAGACACCTTATATCTGTATTTTATATTTTACATGTTATGTTTATTATACAAATAAATGCTACAATAAGTATAAACACTGTTCTCTAATAGTAAGTGTGAAATCTATTGGAGGAAGATAAGGCTTATTGTAAACTGAACAAGTAAAACGGCAAAGCCATCTTTGGGACGAGACTATGTCTCACAGAGCGCGAGCAATGCATGCACAAATCTCACACTTGCATCCTTTTGTAGAAACAGTCTCAGCATTTTGTATTTTCTTTTGACCCGATTCTCGGTCCCTCAACTACCTACAAGTCTGGTTTATTTTATGTGCACACGATTTGGGCACCAAATTGCAACTCCCGACACGTACTCCTTCGTACCTCTAAGGCGTGCATCCGTCGACAGCAGTGCGATTTTAGAGACATAGTCTCATCAAAAATCCTATTCTGCATTGTTATTCTTACCATATGTTAAAATAAAGTGTGAGTGCAGGTTTGCATGTGTGCGTCGTGTGTCGCTCAAATAATAGTAACACAAAAAAATTTGTGTTACTACAAACAATCATCGCACCTAATTCCCAAACAATAGAATCATCACCGTCTAATAGTAAGCGCAAACTCGAAAAACTTATAGACGGCACGCCGGTTATTTGAATAAACACTGTAAATAAAACAATACGTATAGAAGAATACTTTTATAACTTAATTCCTCCAAAGTAATTAATTTAAAAATTTATATTTTAAATTATGTAACACGTATAATATATTCATAATACAATTATAGTAGATTTAATTTTTTCAATTGTGTCTGCTTAAGTTTATTATATAGGTTTTATATATAATTTTGTTACTTATCATCATTTCTTGAAGAATATTTAACGATTCATTCAAAATAATTATCTTACCAAATATTACATAACACATCTGAAAAAAAAGAAAAACAATAAACAATAACGCAGAATCAAGTAAAGAACTTTCATAAGGTAAACGATAATTAAAATAAAGAAAAATTCCATTTATATTAGTAAAATAATCTGCAAAATACATTGCATTGTTTATTATCTGTCAATTGATTGCATCAATTAAATGATTACAGAATTTCTTTTCACGTATTTAATATATTTTGAATGAAAATAATATTTAACGAGTGTCATGACGTAATGTTTATTGTATTTAATTAATATATTGTAAAAATATTATAAAATAAATGAATTTTTATATATTTTCCTTTATAAGTTTTTCTTTAGAAACTTATTCCATGTCTTAAGTTAGGCTTAAACAAATTCGTCTCCCATAAACTTCATTCGATAAATGATGAGCAAATGATTCTAAAATGGTTAAATATGATTTACAATTGTAAATTTTTTATTTAAAAATTTCGATAATACTCACTATTAATTCATATCTGAAGAAATTATTAGATGACAACTTAAACAATCGCCATCTTATTACCGATCGCAGCGACACGCTAATTTTGTAAATATGGAGTAAAAAATGTAATAAAATTAAAAATAATTTTATTATTTTCCTTTTAATTAAAAATCATATAAAAGTTCATGTATGAAATAAATTTTTTAATAAATATTATTATTTAAAGTTTTGTAAATCGTTAAGCTCGATCGAAATTTAGGTACTAACTTAAATTGGGACTAACGTCGGCAGAGTCGGTAGATTATCTGGTCTTTCTACGTACAAACAAATTATATTATATAACATTACAGTCGACCCCTCTATAACACTGTTGATAATTCCGTTTTATATGAATTCCATGTTGTACGAGTCACTTAGATTTTACAAATACGTGTGCCGGGCTGTGAACGGCTCACGTATTTGTAAAATCTAAGTGACTCGTACAATATGGAATTCATATAAAACGGAATTATCAACAGTGTTATAAGGGGGACGACTGTATATTATACATAATAATAATCATCATTATTTGCTATATTAAAATTTACTTTAAGTAAGAAATTTTTCTGTGTTTTTTTTTTTTTTACTTTTAACTGATGAAATAAATGATTGATTAATTGTTCGAGTGAAAAAATGCAACGACAGGTAACAAAAAAGTGTAAAATCTAAAGGTCAAGTATGACTTTGAACAGCTTTGTCGCATTCTATCATTAATGTAACAAAACACTGACTTAATATTATATCCATTATTGAAAAATAAATATCCATGTTTGGTTTTGTTAACTGTACACATACTTTGCTTTTTGTCCAGTACATCAATTGGCAAAGCTTATGGCTTGGATATAACAAACTACCTCGAGATTTGATGAATGTAAACGTCTTCTCTGGTGCTGCATCACAAGATTTTGCTGTCAATATATTTTTCATTCATCGCAACCAAGTGATGACAATGTAACCTCCTAAATAGTGTAATATAAACTTAAATGTTTTTGATGCAAAATAATCATGATCTAATAATTCTCTATCAGTACGATCTTCATAGGATAGGCTCTGATTACAAAAAAATCTTGTAAATGTTCTTCCAGTTGTATTTGGAAATGTGTATCTTGCAAATCTAATGATTAATTGTTTAATATTTCTTTATCAATCTTAAAGTGTTTATAAAGGAAAGTGGAACACAGAGAGATAGTTAAGATTTTTGATATTTACTGCTCGACAAAACCTTGATTATGTATACAATTAAAAGCTTCTCTATGGTTTTCTTTTGCGAGAACTATCGCTTCTGCATAGTCGCACCCTAAAGCTTTTCTATTTGTCGTTCCATATTCTTTTAAGATTAGATAACAAACATGTACTGTATTATCTTTGGTTTTGGAAATCTAAATAAAAAATCTTAAGCCGTATTTTGGTTTATAATTTAATTAGCAAGTTATTAAACGTCAAAGTGTAGTGACATCATTTCCATTTTCAAATCTAACTATTAAACAGCTCATTATTAATTAAGTCAGCCAAGAGTACATGTGCGGCTGTTCATCACCGTCTTCGAGAAACGGGAATACTTTTAATGGTTACCGTTTATCAAAACACGATATACGGGAGCGAATCGGGTTTCTTGCCTTGCACTACAGAATAAGGGTGAGGGAAAATTATACGTGAAAAATCGCTTTGAATGATTATCAGATTACATTTTTTTAAATGTGATGAATTCATTTATGACGTTGTAATCGCTTGTGTTTATCAAGCCGCAGAATTGCATTTTTATCAGTTAAGGAGTATCACTATAAATTTTCTTTTTCCCCTTGTCTGCTGAAACTTTATCCGTGTTCAGCAAAGCAGAATGCCAGAATGCTAACAAGTAAGTAAGAAATCTAATTGTCCAAGAGAGCAGAGCTAAGAAGTGTTCTGAGTACCTTGAAGGCTATAATGAGTTAGCAAATTAGGCAAATTGTGTGTAATTTTATTATAATTTTATGACCATTATAAAAAATATATATATATTTAGTCTAGCAGGAGCAACCATCTTGCAAATTGTACTGTACCACCGGGTAAAAATAACGACGACACCAGTAGAAGTTAGCATAGACAAAACAAGCTGACGGAACTAGTTACAGTTCTAGCAGTGGAAGGAGTGAAGTAGTTAGAAACGAGTTCAGTATCACAGCAAGAATTGAAACTTATTATAAAAGTCGATAATATCATCATTTGATAACATACACTTCGCAAAATTTAGTAGATCTACCATTAGAATTTTTGCATGGTTATAAGAAATCCTTGGGGCAGACTTGGAAACTTTTGCATTCACCCGAGTTTTTCATACTCGAGGAACTACAGTAGAAAGGATATACATCCGTAAACAAAACGTAGAGACGATTTTTCATATTGTATGTGATCCTATTAGACACATGTAATTACGAATACGGTAGACCTTTCAATGAATAGGTCTCGGCCATGCAACAATGCAACAATACATATTCTGTGTAGAAAAATGACTGAAGAGAAGGGGTGATTTTGGAGCAGGATTTTTGGACCAAGACCTATAAGCAAAGAAAGAAATGAGAAAAGATGGAAAAAAAAATGAAGAGTTGAATGATCATAGTGTGCATCCCATGGAGTCAATGGATTTCAGTCCGAATCCTCGAATATCTAACATTCGGAAGATCCCGAAGCGAGTGTATCTTCTTTCAATTCTTTGGAGCATCCCAAATGCATCGAATATGCAGATTTCATTGCAGGACCATCACCTGCATTGAAGAAAGCAAAGAAGAAAGATAGGAAATTCTTTTTTCGATGGTTTAAACGAGTCAAAAATGGATCGACGATTCAAGTAATATCTTTGGACGTTTAAGAAATTGTTCTTTTGGCTAAGTATAATTTGTTTTAATGTATTGAGTGTTGTTTTCCTTGAATTCTTGTTTTATATAACGTTTAATCTTGGATAAGAATGAAGCCTTGGTAAACCAACTGAATAAAGAGATGAATAATCTGCCAAGTGTTTTGAAAAAGTCACTTTATTGTGTCTGTATAAAGCAAAATACAGTATAGTTTGTTAGAACTCCCCTGTAAAGCTGTCTTCACTTTTGATTTTCTTGTATTGAGGTAGAGTTTTTGTTACGTAAAGCAACGAAACTGAGCAACGAAAGACAACTACGGGTCAGAACAGGCGAAAATCCTCAGTTCTAACTGGCACACTAGAAAGAAATGCTCTGGAAGAATATCATTCCAGTCGCAAATTCGAAAAGCGAAAAGAAAATATGAAGATCAAAGTGAAGAATGTAAAAAAGAAGATTTTGTCAAAATCAGATGAATCCTCAGAAAATGAGTATTTCTGTATGGTTTGCGCTGAAGCATATAGCAATAGAAAGCCTAAAGAATATTGAATTACGTGCAGTCAGTGCAATATGTGGTCACATGATGATTGCACTGACGGAAATTTTCCATATTTCTTCCACATTTACAATTTTGTTGGTGGAAAACCAATATCTGTTAAAACTCGTGTATATTAAATACTTACATGTAGTTTTTTTTACATTATTTAGAAATATTTATTTGTTTGCATTTTTATTTAAAAAACAGAACAGTTTTCTTACAATTTACCCTTCATGCTGTTACTTTTTACCTCGGGCTAGTGCACACTGTAATAAAAGTTCAGATTTATTTAAATAAACCAAAGGTTTTGTCTTGCAAATCTAGCAAGTGTTTTAATGAGTGTGCAATATGCAACCAAAGAATATAAGACTTTTTATATATAGAATAGCTCAAAACTCAGTTAACCAAAACAATAAAAGCAAACAATAACACGCAGTTGTTTCAATTCCAAGTTTTCCTTTGTTAAAAATTATCTTAAAAATTATATTTCTATGTTAACTAATTCTTGGTCCTCCTGTATATTCATTTTATTTATTAGATCATATATAGTCGACCCCCTATAACACTGTTGATTATTCCGTTTTATATGAATTCCATGTTGTACGAGATTTAGATTTTACAAATACGTGTGCCGGGCTGTGAACGGTTCGCATATTTGTAAAATCTAAGTGACTCGTACAGCATGGAATTCATATAAAACGGAATTATCAACAGTGTTATAGGGAGGGGTCTACTGTATTACTTCAAGAATTAATTATAATATTACAATATTTTAAAATTTTTGAATTATTTTATTGGTTCTAATTTTTAAAAATTTTTTTATATTTATATATAATTATTTTTATTATGCAATTGTTTTTTTTTATTTATTAAATTATCTTGCAGATGTTAGAAATATTTACAACGTAATTAACATTGACGACATCAGATGGCGTTAACAGTTATTTTATTTTATTTCTTTTTATTACTTATTACATTATATCAAATAATATAATAAGTTATAAAATAAAGCATTAAATATATAAATTCCATATTTATATTTTTTACGTTAGAAATAATTCTTGAGTTACATTCCATTGCTTTTTATTACATTTGTTAAAAATAAATACAATAAATTAATAACAAAACAAAATAGGATTTTAAATAAATTACTATTAAATATATATTTTTCATAAATTATTACTGGTAAAATTAATAACAATACAGAAACAGATAAGTAAACAAAGTAACTTTACTGTATGTATAAAATAGTGTATTTGTCTGTTCTAAATCCTTTTGACTGATCCGGACAAAAGTTTTTATAATTACTCTCTCTTCTCTCTCTCTCTCTCTCTCTCTCTCTCTAGGACCATGCAAAAAAATAGGCTATCATAAAACCCTAACATTTCATTATTTCCCTAATTTTATTTCCCCGTATTAACTTTTAAACCCTTTGACTAATATAGACTAAACAGTACAGATACAGTAAAGAACAGTCAATTTTAACGGACTTTAAGAGGGCCATTTTTCACTTTTCTAACCGGTGGGTACGACCAATGAGTGAGAGATAGGGTCTGACCTATCTAAGATAGATCAACCCTGAAAAATTTCTGAAATTATGATCAAGATTCAAACCAGAATATCTCTCAGAGCAGCAACCCGCTTCTCTCTACCGAACACTACAGTAAAATATTTGTTCTTGTATCGTTTTCAATAATGTTT